AAAGACGCCTGAAATGACAGACAGCGGGGCGGACTAGCATCTGTTCCAGAGGCTCCAAGGAGTACCCAGCTTAGAGCCACTTCTTTGGTTTGAGGATTATCTCATCTCCCTAAGGCATTGAACCTGAAGCTTTCCCTCTAAGCCCTGCTCTATTCCCACCCACCCCTGACCCAGTCCAGCCCCTCCCACAGCCACCACCCCCACCTGCTTCATAACCTCAGGCAGGGATCACACTGAGCCCCAAAGTCCCCAGCCACCTGGGTTGGTGAAGGAGCCAGCAGAGCCGGCTAGGAGGGAGCAGGCCTTCAGAGGCCTCTCCTGGGGGCAGTGGGGTGATGCCAGGTGCCCTTTTTCCGCCTCTTTGTCTGGATCGAAACCCCAGGGAATTAGCACTGGAAGGGACCTGCTGCAACACTGAGCTTATGATAATGGGACCAGTGACACCATGTTTGAAAGTAATTTTTTTTTAAAGGAAGACACCTTTCATTAAATGAATGGACTCTCCCTTAGAGACATTGATGTGAAGGCGTCATGCTTTCCTTGTGGGGTACAGCCTGGGCTTCCACTGATGGGAATCCAGTGCCCCACCCTGCACCTGCCCTTGGGGCTCCTCTTGCCACACCCCTGCCTGCACCCCAGCCTTCTCTCTACCCCATGGAGTGAACGCCTGTTGGGAGGCTCAGGTCCAGCACTTTGTCCTCTATTAGACCCTGCCAGCCTTCATTTGTAGCTTTCAGCAGAGCAGGTCTTCCCAGTCACCCCTGGGGTGTACCCAAGACCCCAAGGGTTTGCAGAGTGTGGGTTTCTGGGTTCTGCCCCTCCTACCCTGAGACTAGGCTCCCAGGAAATGAATGTTACATGTGGCCTGTGTGTGCAGGCCCAGTTTCCAGGGTAGGATGAGGCACACAGAAGGGCTTAAAGAGGTGCATCTGCTGCCTGGTCACAGCAGTGGGAGGGGAGTGCTGGGCAGAGGGTTGCCACCTGTAGCTTTTGTCAGGGTAGGACTACAGCGCATTCTGGCGGCACTGTAGACCAAGAACAGCTTGCTGACGAAAGCTTCCCTTCCCACATCCTCTGATCTCACACAGCGCATCGATGGGCCTACTGGGAAATGAACACCTGCCTCTGTGAGCAGGGTCCCCAGCTACCTGATGAATGGGTCACTGGCTTGTTTACCATTTTAATCAACAGCCACAAATAACCTTGAAAAGCTACTCCCTTACTCTTCACCCTCAACCCAAGCTATTTTCTCGGACATCATGTTGTCTCCAGTGTCAGCTTTTCCCCCATGATCTCTTCATAATGCATAAACAGCTGATCACATGGTCTAACTCAGAGCCAGAGTCCTGAAGTTCATTGCCATGGTCTTCCTGGTACACTGGCCACACTGCCCTGCTTCCAGGCATGCGTGTTGTACCTCACTACTCAACCATTGGCCACTTCCTGACCCATTCTTCCTTCTTACTGCTAAATGATGGACTAACTATGCCACTTTACCCAAAGAAACCTCAGTCTGAAAAAAAAAACCTGAAACTGACTTATTTATAAGAACAATGGATAAGTTGCCTTAGAAACACAAATTGGGGAAACTTGACAAATGAGTCCTGGAAGACTTCCAGGAGGAGGTGATTATTAAGTTGGGTCTTGAAAAGATCATGGATGTCCTCAAGGAAGAGAAGAGCCGAGCATGCTAAGCCAAGGAAGCAGCAGCAGTAGAGGTCTGGGAGCTGGAAACACACAGCATCGCCTCACCTCTGCGGTTTGGTGTGGCTCAAGCAGGCAGGAGGAGGGAGGGCCCTGCCTTTGAGGGGGCTTTCTCCTGCACCCAGGCATAGGAGGGTGCTCCTTGACGCCAGGGCTGCTCTCTGGCCCACAGGTGCTCCCACGGCTGAATGAGGTTCCCATGGCTGCTGGCACCTCCACCCACTCGCACCCGCTCAGGCGGGTGGCGTCCCAGAAGGAAAGAGGCAGGGAGGAAGCAGATAAGAAAGACAGCTTCTGTTTAGACACAAATATCTTGGTAATCAGCACAGATGGGAAGAGAAAGACCAAAAAAAGTACATGACAGTTTAGAGAGGATTTGGCTGTGTGTTACATATTTTAAACATACCTGTGTAGAGTTTTTGGGGAGATTGGTACCTGGATCCCTCAAGTGGCTGTTGGGGCCCAGGGCATGGTTGGGGCATGTGGTGTTTTTATTTCTGAGATGCCCCCTTCCCCATCCACCAAAGGATCGTTGTGTGTTTTTTTTTTTTTCTCCCACCAAAATAAGGCACAGGATTTGTCTCTGACGCCGTGTCTCCCTATTTGGACGGCAAGCTGTGTAACATATTTCTATCCAGCGTGAAGCTTCTTGGCACACTCCAGAGGCCACGTTTTGGTGGCTTCAGAGTTATCTTTGGATCTGTCAAAAGTGCTAATGGGCTTTCTGGCCTTCTTTAAGCTCCTCATTTTCTATTTTCTTTTTACTTCCATCCTCTCCTAAAAGAAAAATTCATGCAATTCATCAGCAGTTAAGCTCGCGCTGAAAATGCTCAGCCATGAGCCTCGTCGCTTTGCTCGCGAGGAGAGCTGTGCCGTGTCACCGCCTCCAGCGGCGCCAGCCCCACCCCAGCGTTAGTAGCTCAGCCGTTGCCCAGCCCGCCGGGCAAGGGATCTGCCCACTGACTCACCCAGGCCGCTTTGCCTGCGTCTTCTCTTGGGCTTTTCACTGAGTTTTTTGGGAAGCAAGTTCATGTGGTAGTTGGAGGTTTGGATTCAGGAGACCTGGTTTTTGGGGAAACTTAGTTCTGACCTGTCTGGCTGGATGGGTTTTAGACCACTGAGTCTTCCTGAGCCTTAATTTATCCCATCTGCAGAATGGAGGTAATGCTCATTTGGGGTTTTTGAGAAAACTAGAGAGGAAAGTGATAAAAGACTCCCTGGGGCCAATGTTGTGGCGTAATGGATTATGCTGCTGCCACTCTCTGAGCACTCCCCATCCAGCTCTCTGCCGATGTGCCTGGAAAAACAGCAGCAGGTGGCCCAAGTGCTTTAGCCCCTGCTACCCACGGGGGACTCCTAGAAGAAACTCCTGGCCCCTGGACATACTCTTGGCTGTTGTGGCCATTTGAGGAGTGAACCAGCAGATGGAAGATCTCCCTCCACCATCCTTTCTGTAACTCTTTGACATTAATTAATTAATCAGAAATGCCTACTGCCTAGCACTAAGGATTTCTCAATAAATGGCAGTAATGATGAGCGAGAGCAGGCCTACCCAGGGTTGTAATATCATCTGCCTACACTCTATGACCCTTCATCAAATTATACCGACTCTGTGCCTGTCTTCTTGTCTTTCCTACAATACCAAGATCAAGGAGTGGTTCAAAATTAAGTAACATAATAGCATATAAAGCCTTGTGCATTTTGAATCATGTATGAGATAGTGTCGTGTAAAAGACAGGCTGCAGACTGTGGAGTCAGACTCGACGCCATTGGTAGTAGATCCACCCAGATTGAATGCCCCCAACTAGTCAAAAGAAGCTCTCTGTGGGCGTTTGTGAAGATTGCACGGAATCACGTATGGGAAGTGTGTGGTATTGTGCCTGCCACTTGCTTTGGAGCCATTAATGCACTTGTTCTTTTCTTGTAAAGGTTTGTGGTTAACTAGGTACTCTAGGGTTAGTGTCCTTTCTTGTTCCCACCGCGTAATATTGTTGAAAAGCCCTCTACGCTATTTTTGTGTGTGAAATCCACCTGGCTTACTTCAGTATGGGGGTGAGAGAGCTTCAATCATCAGAAACTACAACGCTTGGCAATGGCTTGTTCCTTCCCTCCCTAGCCCCTTTTATTTTCACTAGATTATATTATGTGGCTTTGAAAACCTGTAACATTGAAGAAATTAGCATATTCATATGTATTATTAAAATTAGGTGGGTATAGAAAGGGTTGTAGAAATCTGAAGAGCTCCAGTCTATAGCAGCGATTAAGAGAATGAAGCCTGGGGTACCAAAAAAAGGGAGGGGCTCCTTAAAACACTGCTTTGTCACAACTTGCTGCTGCTGCCTTGTCTTCAGTTTTTCGCTTTTGAGTGAAATAACAGAGAAATTATAAATCTCACAGTTGCTTTAGTTCCTACTGAGCCACTCATGAATGTAAACCAGAGGGACCCCAGTGGCGACAATAGGAGAGGTACACACCGCCCCATGGCCAGGGGCAAAGTCGGAGGGTGCAGCTGTACTGAAACAGGTTCTGAGCCAGCTGCATGCCGGCTCTCTCACTTTAGTACAGAATTTGGGGTATGAAGATGTGAACAGCAGTCCTGTCTCCACTGCTGATTAGCCAGCCCGTTGTGACTAGTTTCCTCCTTTAAAAAAAAAGAATAATTTATTTTTATTAGAAAGATTTACAGAGAGAAGGAGAGATAGATAGAGAGAGGATCTTCTGACTTGTGGTTCACTCCCAAGTTGCTGCAATGGCCAGAGCTGAGCTGATCGGGAGCCAGGAGCATTTTCCAGGTCTCCCAAGTGAGTGCAGGGTCCCAAGGCTTTGGGCCGTCCTCTACTGATTTCCCAGGCCACAGGCAGGGAGCTGGATGGAAAGTGGAGCAGCTGGGACATGAACTGGCACCCATGTGGAATCGGGCAGTTGAAGGGGAGGGTTAGTTAACTGAGCCATGGCACTGGGCCCTGGTTTTCGCCTTGTAAGGCTACAGGTTTCCTGTCCTATGCCCCCCTCGGGAACTGGCAGGAGGAGCAGCTCCAGTGCCATGTGGCTCCCATTGTGAACTCTGCTTACCACGTAGGTGGCTTCATGTCTGAGGTCCCTTCCAGCTTCACACCTCATGACTTTATGCATGAGTGGGATTTGGTCTCCCAGGTGGGAAGGAACAGGCCTGGGGGGCAGGGGGAAGAAAGAGCGGACACCTTGTGATGATTCTGTTTTCTCATGCTTTCATGAGATAGTGTTTGTAACAAGACACAGCAAATAAGCCACCAACCCAGCCTTCTGCTTTCTCCTAGAGAAATCTGACAGAATATTTTGTGGCTGTGGATGTTAACAACATGTTGCACCTGTACGCCAGCATGCTCTACGAACGCCGCATCCTCATCATCTGCAGCAAGCTCAGCACTGTGAGTAGACGGTCTCGAGACGGGCTTTCCAGGGCTTGAGTTTTAATTGAGAGATGCACGGGCAAGATGAAAGGAAATCCTTAGAAAAGGGAATCCACCGCAGTCCCCTCGTGGGGTAACACATCATTTTCATTAATTGTCCTTACTCTCTTACAGCATCACAGCAGTTCACTCATTTTTATAGTCTCACCGCCTATTATAGTTTTTCCATCCGGGTATGTGTTAGGGACATTTTGCATATTTCCACAGAAACTTGCATTGTTGTTGTTGTGTGTGTGTGTGTGTGCCGTATTTCCTCATGTTGATGTGTCATGGGTTACTAGGTCTACATTTAGGTTGCGTGTTAGCTAACACTGTGGTAAATAACGCTGCAGAGCCCATCTTTGGGCTCCCTGAGGAGGTCACAGGGCTTGCGCAGCACCAGACTCCCTGCTTGCTTCTCAGGCGGGCTGCACTTGTTTCGTGAATGCTGTCCAGTGTGTGAATGTGTCACTGCTGCCACAGCCTTGCCGGGAGAGAGAGAATCCAAGTGTCTTTTGTTTTGATTTTGTTAATTAAGTAGCTATAAAATGGTCTGTCAGGTTTACTTGCATTTTTACCCCTTGGTAGTGGTAACTAGCTGTTTTCCATATATTTTGAATTATATTCTGTTAATAGCTTTTCTTGCTGCTCCTTCAGGGGTATTGATATCTCTTTTACAAATTAGAATAAGTTCCTTATGTATTGTAAAAACTTGTTACATGTAGAATGCAAACGTGTTTCATGTCTTTAGCTCTAGTTTCTCACTTGTTTGATGTAAGAGCTTATATGGCCGCCAATAGTTTATGAAGGTCAATTGAAATTCTTTTACAGTTAACACCAGTATAATCCCAGCTGGGTTCTACCAGTCAGGCTTTGTCCTGCATTTATTTGTCTATCCATTCATCAATCCATCTTAATTTTTTGATACAGAGTAAATGTAGCATTGGTAAACTTGAACCTGAACGCAAGCTGCTGCTGCTGTTAGCCAGGACATACAGACATGACAGGGTATAGAAGAGCTAACAATAAAAATTTAAACAACAACAACAAAGAAAGCTAGCACGTGTCCCATGGGAGAGGACAGAGAATTGTGTCTGTAAGGGGAAGTTCCCTCGCAAACAGGCTTTGGACAAAATCAGTTAGGTGTTTGCCTGTCAAGACAAGGCATCTTGATGAGGCAGGATTTTCTTAATAACTGTCTCATGTCTTTGGTTATTGATGGCTTGTCCAGAGCTCACTACTTTTTTGGTTGCCTGCTGTACCCTAGATTCATGGCACACAGCAGGTGGGTAGGAAGTGTAGCCCTTGGCCTCGAGGTCCAAACGGCCTGGAGTGCGCCTCTTGCTTTGTTTCCTATTAAGTTCATGATCTCAGGGCATTAACACCCAGAACAAATTTCAGAATGGGTGTACTGCAACTTGGATTATCCAGTGACTGATTCTAGGGTTGATGAGAGAGGAGGGCACATTTGAAGGTATCTAGTCTATAAATTGTTACTGTGCTTTGGATTACTAAACTTCAGCTGAGCAGAACTAGGCTGTCACCTCAATGGAGTGAGGGCCCTGTGATTTGCTTTAAAATTTTTTTAATTTATTTTTATTGAAAAGGCAGAGTTAGGGCCCGGCGCGATAATGTAGCTGTTAAAGTCCTTGCTTTAAATGTGCCAGGATCCTATATGGACACCGGTTCTATTCCCAGTAGCCCCACTTCCCATCCAACTTCCTGTTTGTGGCCTGGGAAAGCAGTCGAGGACGGCCCAAAGCTTTGGGTCCCTGCACCCGCATGGGAGACCTGGAAGAAGTTCCTGGTTCCTGGCTTTGGATTGGTTCAGCTCTAGCGGTTGCAGCCACTTGGGGAGTGAACCACCAGATGGAAGATCTTTCTCTGTGTCTCTCCTCCTCTCTCTATATCCGGCTTTCCAATAAAAATAAATAAATCTTTAAAAAAAAAAAAAAGGAAGAAAAAGCAGAGTTAGAGAGAAGAGACAGAGAAAAATCTTCCATTTTCTGTCACTCCTCAAATAGCCTCAATGACTGGAGCTGGGCTAAGCAGATCTGAAGCCGGAAGCCTGGAGTGGGTCTCCCACATGTATACAGGGGCTCAACAACTTGAGCAATCCTCCGCTGCTTTCCCAGGCTATAAACAGGGAGCTGGATTAGAAGTACAGCAGTGGGGACATGAGCTGATGCCCGTAGGGATTGCCAGTGCCCATAGGGGCTGCCAACCCTGCAGACAGAGGCTTAGCCTACAGTACTAGTGTTGATTTACATTCTTAAAGACTAATTAGGGAGAGACAGAGATAGAGATCTTCTGTCCTCTGGTTCACTCCCCAAATGACTGCAGTGGCCAAGGCTGCGCCAAACCAAACCAGAAACCCAGAAATCTCTCCAGGTCTCCCACATGGCTGGTAGAGGCCGAGCAATTGGGCTGTCATCTGCTAGAGCAGGGAGCTGGATTGGAAGCAAAGCAGCATGGACTTGAACCAGCTCTCCGATATGGAATGCCAGCATTATAAGCCATGGCTTAATCTGTGTTCCAATGTGCCTGCCCCTATGATTAGTCTTGACTTTTAGAGCCTTTTTTGTGTGTGTGTTAGACTCTGTATGAGTTCTCACAGCTCAGGTTTTAGTGGGTTCTGTTGTTACCGTGACTTTATAGATATGGAAGAGCATGTCATCTGGTGATGATATTAAGATAAATACATCCAGTTGGGTATTGCTGCACCTTCCCAATACTAACATGAGGCAATGGAGTAAATCACAAATGGGAAGAACTGAAACAATAGAGATTTTTTTTAACATAGTAGAAATATACTTTTTAAATTTTTAAAAAATTATTTACTTATTTTATTATTTTATGATATAGTTCCATGAACTCTGGGATTTCCCATCCCTCCCTCCCCAAACTTTCACACACACCCCCACACTGATTTTCCCTACATCTTTACGATAGTATAGTCGTTCGCAATCAGTCGTAATTCCATTATTCTACTATTTAAGTACATCTTGACATTGTAGGTATGGACAATGGCAGAGAGTCCAGCATCCTGTTGTTAAGATATATTAAACAGTTTTGTTGGGAGTCCATCTTTGATGTGAAAATAGATCTACACACTGCATTGTATCTTCACATTTGGATGTGATAGTCTATTACACAGTTGCTATACATCCCCTTAAATAAAAAGCCATAAAACAAAATCAATAACCAGAAGAAAACTAGAAAATTAGCAAAAACAAGAAGTTAAAGAACATGTTACAGAATGATCAATGTGTTGCTGAAGAAATGAGAAAAGAAAATCAAAAGCTTAAAGGAAATGATACTTTTGCCAAATTTGTGCCAGTATTTGAAAACTAAGGTTAAATGGCAAGAAGGATAAAATTTGGCCAGATTGTCTCATAAAGAAATAGAAAAACTGAGACAAAGCTTTAAAATATTTTTCTAGAGAAAATACTGGGTCCAGTTGATTTTATAGGTATAAGTATATTTTATATTACCAAATATCTCCAGCAATGGATAATTTCGGTGTTAGGCAAATTCTGTAAGAGTCTGGCATAAAGAGAGACCCACCACAGCTCTTCTTGTGACGGTTGCATGGCTTTGATGTTCAGTCACGTAAGACACCACAAGAACAAAAACCTGTCATCCAGTGTCACTCGTTACCATGGATGTAAAAATCTTAAAGAAAATAGTAAACAAGACAATGTGTAATGTGTAATTGGGCTGATTCTGAAAGTGTACTTACTAGAAAACCTATAAATATAACTTACACATTAACATGTGTAAGAGAACAGTCCGTTGTGACTACCAATAGATAGAGAACGAACCAGGACCACATTCACAGAGAGGAAGGCACGCTGCCTTGAAGATGTCATTTTGCCCCAGAACTCTCTGTAGACAGAATACAATTGCATTCCAAATCCCAGTAGGGTTTTACATGGTATCTGACAAGCTGATTCTAAATTTAATATGCAAAATCCGAAGAAAGAGCCAAGACCTACTTGAAGAAAAAGAATGGATTGTCGTAGCCTTCTTTACCAGACACCAAACTTGCTCTAAAGCTGTGAAGGTGCTAGAAGCAGTGACACAGCAATGGGTGCACACGTGGCAGGAACAGGGCTGGATCCTCGTGGAACCCATGGGGAGTGGATGGACTTTCCAGTCACCAGCTATCTACATGAGGAAGCAAAGGAAGATGTTTCTCCTGTCTAAATTCCAAATTGGTCAAGGACTTAAATGTGAAAGACGAAATTTGAAAACTTCTGAAAGGAATAAAATAGGAGCCTGATCCTCTGTGATCTCAGAGACGGATTTATTTCAAGATGATCCAAAATATACATCGCCTAAAAGAAAAAGTGAAAACTGTGAACATTTGTTCATTAAACGATGCCATTCAGTGAATGGAAAGATAAGTCACAAACTGAGAAGATTCGCCATAAGTAAAACCAGCAGAGGCTTAGTACTGGGAACATGCAAAGGACAGTACACCTAAAAGGCAGGAAAGATGATGATTAATTGAAAAGTCGACCAAAAACATGAATGAGCATTTTGCAAGAGAAATGTAACTAGTCTTCAGATAAGTTCAGGAACGGGTGGGCACGGTGGTGCCGTGGTTAAATGAACTGCTCCTGATCGTGTGTGCGATTCAGTCTCATTTCCACATCCATTCCAGTTCCTGCTAAAGTGCACCCTGGGAGGCAGCAGGTGCTTGAAGCACTTTGGTTCCTGCCACCTGTCTGGGAGAGACCTGGAGGGATTCCTGGCTCCTGGCTTCAGCCTGTCCTAGCCCCAGCTGCTGAAGGAATTTGGGGGTGCGAACCCTGTGGTGCTCTCTCTCTCTCTCTCTCTCTGCTATTCTTTTTAAAGATTTATCTGTATTTATTATAAAGAAAATCAGATTTATGGAGAGGAGAGAGAAAGATCTTCCATCTGCTGGTTCACTCCCCAAATGGCAGCAATGGCTGAAGCTAGACCAATTCTAA